AAGACATCTTTGATGTTTAGGTCTAATTCTGCATTCGAATCTTTTTCTACGCTGAGCAATTGTGTCAACTTGTGCCTCATTAGTTCGCTCATAGCAGGTACTTCCGTTGGTCTTTACCCTACGGCTTGGGATAGTTTGTCCATTTTATTTGGAAGTCCGTACGATACACATCGCCTTAAGCCTAATTCATATCAGCTAAACTTGAGCATTATACATTCAGCAGCGTGTGTTGAAAATTAGGAGATTTGAACCAATTAGGCTGTCAGTGTATTATTTGTTGTTGTCTTCAGCAGCTGCGAATGCGTATTGTGCAAGGTTCCATTTAAAGCCAGTGAATACCCTCTGACCTGATCGAAAGCAACCTGTGCAGGACTTATTTGAAGCTTCGTCTTTTGTTTTGCGGTCAAGCATGCCTGAGGATCCATCTTTTTTAAATTATTCTTATTCCTTCTTGACCACAACAAGTAGGCCTTGCTTCGTGTCAGATAGTTAAGGGTCGCTAGTCACATTAGTCATTAGCGTTATCGACTCAAGGTAGTTCAGTCAGTCCTTGATTACATGGATGCCTTCGTTTGGGCATTTCGTGCGGATTTTTTCCTCTACCCTCCCCATCGCTTTCAAATAAAAATCAAGAAGTGTATAGTTGTGTTGTCACTTCGATTGTAATATCTGATAACTTATAGCTTAAGCCGTTGTTCAGTATTATTGAGCCTAACAGAAAAGCAGTACACTGGCTGTTGGTGAATGGCATTTGTAGACTCTACTATACTCTACTTTTAAACTTGCTATAATGTTAGTGCTGCACATAGGATTATTAACCTTTAGATGAACAAATTTATATGCGACTCTTTCGAAACAGAACAATCCGACACACAGTCTAATGACCCAGTAGCCACAAGACCTGCTTCCTCCCATAGACAACTATGTTTTCATCCATGTCTTCAACTATGTCTCATCTTTGGTTTTTGGCTTGTTGCTGTTTTAATAATATTGCGGCCCGCTGAAGTTTTAAGTTGGGAAAGATATGGCCAAGTGAGACCATGGATTAGTCAAGCGAAATTATGGGTCCTGTTGATATCAGTCCGGTATTGTAGTAGCCTTCTAAGTCCCATACCCTGATTTATTTTATGATAGTTTCTCAGGTGTTGCCATAATTCTCCGTCAAATATTATTCTTCTAGTTATGTTAAAAACAGGAATGCAAATTTTGTTGGTTTTTTACATTTACTTTAGAATAATCTATCCAACCATACCATTTAGGTACTCCAACGTCTCGTTTCCTCGATATGAGAAAGGAGTTTCCTGCCGGTGTCTATAGCCCAGCAAACCACTCATTGTTGGTCTTGCTCCATTAGGTGTCCGC